CTGCCCCCAACCTCCCTCGAGCCGAGCCCAGCTGCCTCCCTGCCCCGTCGCTGCCTCCGGCCCCGCTCCTGCCTCCCTGCCCGGCTGCCTTCGTGCCCCTACCCCGCTCCAGCCTCCCGCGCACTCCTGCCTCTGGCCTTCCTGACTCCCCTGCCCTTCTGCCTTCCTACCCTCGCCTACCTGCCCTGAACCCCTGCCCGGCTCCGGCCTCTGGCCTCCCTATATCCCTGCCCTCCTCCGCGCACTCCTGCCTCTGGCCTTCCTGACTCCCCTGCCCTTCTGCCTTCCTACCCTCGCCTACCTGCCCTGAACCCCTGCCCGGCTCCGGCCTCTGGCCTCCCTATATCCCTGCCCTCCTACGCCTGCCCAAATCCTGCCTCTGGCCTCCCCCATAACCCTACTCATCTCCTGCCTCCCTCATACCCCTACCCTGCTGCTGCCTCTGGCCTCCCCCATATTGCTGCCCTAGTGCTCTCTAGCCTGCTCCCATGCCCTTTCCCTGCTCTTCTGCTGTTGCTTCCAGCCTGCTCCCCTACCTCTTCTCTTCCCTGGTCTGCTTCTGCCTCCGGCCTGTCCCTTTAGCCCTGCCCTCATACCCCTTTCCTGCCCTTCTCCTGCTACCTCTACCACTATTCAGCCATTCCTCATCAAAATGGCCACTCAGTTTTCTTATCAGAAACACATATCTGAATTCCTTTGCTGTTATATCCTTTTCAGTATCCCTTTCTATCTGGCCTTCCATAAGATCCAGTCTACTAATATCCATTAGTTCTGGGCCAACCCTGGGGAGTAGGCTCAGGGCATGAGGGCTTCCCCTGCTCCGCTCACCCACCCAGTGCTCCAACCAGTGAGTGGGATCTGGGTGCAGGAATCTTCGGAATGCCTGGAGTGCCAGGTGGGCAGACGGAGAAGAGTCAGGACTGCAGGGGTGAGCCCCAGCCCATGCATAGCTATGCTCCTGCAGTGTGGCCTAGTAACTAAAGCATTGGACTAGGACTCAGGAGAATGTTTTAGTTCCAGCTCTTTTCCATCCATTTCTCTGTATTTCTGTCCCCCATTTATAAAAGTGCAACTATACTATCCCCCTTTGCAAAGCATTTTGGTATCTACTGATGTAAGTCCTAGGTATAGAGTTATAGAATCCTAGGGCTGGAAGGCTATGTCTACACTCGCGGGCGAGAAATATGCAAATGAGGCTAAGCATGGCATATCCCCTGAAAATAATCAGAGTAGCAGCATTGCACAAGAGGAATTTTGTTGCACAAGAAGGGGCAGTGTAGACAGCTCCTTCTGGCGCAAGAGTCTCTTGGCGATATTCCATTTTTAGCTTCATTTGCATATTTCTCACACAAGAAGCTGTGAGTGTAGACATAGCTGAAGAGACCTCAGGAGGTCAAGTCTAACCCCGTGCCCAAAGCAGGACCAACTCCAACTAAATCATCCCAGCCAGGGCTTTGTCAAGCCAGAACTTAAACACCTCTAGGAGTGGAGATTCCCTTAGGAAACCCATTCCAGTGCTTCACCACCCTCCTAGTGAAATAGTTTTTCCTAATATCCAACCTAGACCTCTCCCACTGTAACTTGAGACCAGTGCTCCTCCTTCTGCCATCTGTCACTACTGAGAACAGCCTCTCTCCATCCTCTTTGGAATCTCCCTTCAGGTAATTGAAGGCTGCTATTAAATCCTCCCTCACTTTTCTCTTCTGCAGATTAAATAAGCCCAAATTTCTCAGCCTTTCCTCATAGGTCATGGGCTCCAGCCCCCTAATCATTTTGGTTGCCCTCCGCTGGACCTCTCCAATGCGTCCACATCCTTTCTATAGTGGGGGCCCCGGAACTGGACGCAATACTCCAGATGTGGCCTCACCAGTGTCAAATACAGGGGAATAATAGATCTAGATCTTCTCTAGATCTGCAGGCAGTGCTCTTATATGCACCCTAATATGCCATTGTCCTACATAAGAACAGCCGTACTGGGTCAGACCAAAGGTCCATCTAGCCCAGTAGCCTGACAAACAGAGGCCAGGGACACCATTTCTATCCCCTGGCTAATAGCCTTTTATGGACCTAACCTCCATGAAATCATCTAGCTTCCCTTTAAACTCTGTTATAGTTCTAGCCTTCACAGCCTCCTCTGGCAAGGAGTTCCACAGGTTGACTACCCGCTGTGTGAAGAAGAACTTTCTTTTATTAGTTTTAAACCTGCTACACATTAATTTCATTTGGTATCCTCTAGTTCTTCTATTTAGGGAACTAATAAATAACTTTTCTTTATCCGCCCTCTCCACACCACTCATGATTTTATATACCTCTATCCCCCCTCAGTCTCCTCTTTTCTAAACTGAAAAGTCCCAGTCGCTTTAACCTCTCCTCATATGGGACCCGTTCTAAACCCCTAATCATTTTAGTTGCCTTTTTCTGAATCCTTTCCAGGCCAAAATATCTTTTTTGAGGTGAGGAGACCACATCTGTACACAGTATTCAAGATGTGGGCATACCATAGTTTTATACAGGGGCAGTAAGATATTCTATGTCTTATTTTCTATCCCTTTCTTAATAATTCCTAGCATCCTATTTGCCTTTTTGACCACCGCTGCACACTGGGGCTACGTCTACACTGGCCCCTTTTCCGGAAGGGGCATGTAAATTTCACGAGTCGTCGTAGGGAAATCCGCGGGGGATTTAAATATCCCCCGCGGCATTTAAATAAAAATGTCCGCCGCTTTTTTCCGGCTTTTAAAAAAGCCGGAAAAGAGCGTCTAGACTGGCCCCGATCCTCCGGAAAAAGTGCCCTTTTCCGGAGGCTCTTATTCTTACTTCTTATTTAAATGCCGCGGGGGATATTTAAATCCCCCGCGGATTTCCCTACGACGACTAGTGAAATTTACATGCCCCTTCCGGAAAAGGGGCCAGTGTAGACGTAGCCTGTGTGGAAGTTTTCAGGGAACTATCCACGATAACTCCAGGATCTCTTTCCTGATTTGTCATAGCCAAATTAGCCCCCATCATACTGTTCGTATAGTTGGGGTTATTTTTCCCAATGTGCATTACTTTACACTTACTCACATTAAATTTCATTTGCCATTTTGTTGCCCAATCACTCAGTTTGGTGAAATCTATTTACAGTCCCTCACAGTCTGCTTCTGTCTTAAATAACATTAGCTTGAAAATGAAATAAATCGCAATGTATTTAATCAAGGATAGATTTAAACAATGTCCTGTGTATTGAGGTGTTAAAAATGTTTTACAATAGAAAAAACTCATTGTCAAATTATTGCTGTTATACATGTATGGAGTTTAGCTGAGTTTCAGTTTTCTTCATTTAGTCACTACCACATTGCCTGACACACACTTGAGGAAAAAATGTTGCGTGGGTCATGTGTCTTTTGTATGCGTTTTCATAATTTCATGTTAATACCCAGTTAGAATCATAATTTTCATTTTATAATTTCATCTCTTTGATTTCTTTTTAGCAAGACAGTGATAATACTAATGTGTCCCCACAGTCTCCTGTTTCATTTGAGGTACAAGTTTGTGTTTTGTTTTTTCTTTCAGTGAATGTTTGCTGTGTGTGCTAATTTGTTTTCATTGTGGTTCATTGTGTAAAAAATGCGTAGCCCTTGGCCAAATCAGAAAATGTTAATCAATGAGCTTTGCTTTGAAAGAGGAATTGAAATGTATGCACTTGTGCAATAACGTAAAAGCAGAATTAAATAGGAACCAATGACAGATTTCTTGTTAATTCCCTTAACTTGTCCTGCCTCCACTACCATCATGTCTGTCTTTCCCTCTCTGGTTTTTTTAAAGGTTGATCTATAAGAAAGAAGCATTTATTTTCTGCCTATCTTACTCTAGCAGACGAAAATAGCTACCGAAGAGAGAAATCAAAGCTGCCGTATTGAACAGAGCGTCAGTCCAGGCTGACCTACAAGTGTAGTTCGTCAGAGTGTTAGAAATAAGTTCTAGGTTTAGGAGCCCATCAAGTCCACAAAGAAGCCAGAGTTGTGAAAGGCCCCCCTCTAGAGAAGGGGTTTTACCCCCACAGTCCTGACTGCCTTATGCATTTTTTGCCCTGGCAGTGTGCTTCTCTGGCTGCTTGAGGCCTAAGACGAAAATGCTTTGTGGCTTGACCAGGATGTTTGACAGTGTCAGTTGCATTACAGTAGAGACTCAGGAAGTTAGTCCTGAAGGTGCTGCAGATCTACTTGTTTTTTTAAAGTTACAGACTAACACAGCTACACTTCTGAGAGCAGGAAGAAGAGACACCCAATGAAGCCAAAGCTTTCCATTCACTGTCAGATAGAGGTCATGATGCTGTGGATGTCTCCTGTAGACAGTGGAGGATTTCAAGCTTAGTAGGGATCTGAAGCACATTAGGGGACGGAGGAGTTGGAGTCTCCTTTCGCCACCTTTAGGGAGGGAAGACACCATTGTTCCAGCTTCTGAAAGAAATTTCTTCTTCAAAACAGAAAGATAGTCCCTCTTGGATTCATTCCACTCATCCCTCTGTGCTCCCATGGGTGTTCACACCAGATCATGATCTGCACTGTCAGAGCAAGGGAGAGACAGACTTGGAGTAGTAGCCCTCTACCTGCAAACAGCTCAGCTCACAATTACCTACCTATCCTGTCCTTTCCCATTGTTCTTTACGTGGTTCTGGCCTTGCTTCTACACACACGAGGCACCAAGTTAATGAACATTGGCTTTTATAAAGATTTAGTTAAATTGATGCTTGCCTTTATGTGGCTACACTTCATGTGTGTGTCCATGCAGAGGCGTACACTGGTTTAAACTGATTTAAAAACAGATTTGAGTTAAACTTGTACCCTTTTTGTGCTTGGAAGAGCTTTTGTCTTTCTCTCCTCTGTGGATAACAAGGCTTCCTTTGCTGCTTTCTTATTACAATGTTTTCCACACTGTTAAACATCAAGACATTGATCACTATCCATTGGAGTCCAACCATCTAGCCAGTTTTCTATCCACCTTACAGTCCATTTATCCAATCCATACTTCCTTAGCTTGCTGGCAAGACTGCTGAATGTTCTGAATATTTACTCCCAGAATCCTCTTCCTTCTCTGATAAGCGAGTTGCAGGAAGGGAAACAAGAAGGAACTGACTGAAGGAGACGACTGCTCCAAAGTAGGAATGGGAAGCCTGGACTCAACTGATTGACTGGGGCGGGGAGGAGGGGGGCACTTGCTTCCCTTCCTGGCCACGAGGGAAGGGACATCACCTTTTCTGCAACTTGCTCCCCTGACCTCTCACTGCCCCTCACTCCCTGGAACCTGAATTTCACTGTGTGCCTTCCCCTTACTCCTGGTGGAAGCAGCTTCTTGCCAGGGAGGCTCTTCTACCCTCCAAAGTCAGAAGCCAGCACCAGCTGAGCCATTGAGAATCCTGTCTCCCGTAGAGTCATGGGTGCAGGAGAGCTGGGACAACCTGATGGTTCTTGCCACCAAAGGGAGAACAGGCACAGAAAGAACTGAGCAAATCAGATCAGCCATGCTCATGCCTTCTGCTTCCCTCCTGTAGCGTGGGGGTGGGCCAGAGGTACACACTTGTCGCCCATGGTGGGAGGGAGGGGAAGGGAGCAGAATGAGACCTAAGCTGCTGGCCTTTTTCTGCTCCTCTCCCCATTCATCCACCACCATGACAATGGTAAGGACCAATCAGCTCCTCTCACCCATCCGCATCTTACATTGCCTGGCTCTGGCTGCCCATCAGGCAGGAGTGGGGGATGGTGTGAAAGCAGCAAGGGATCAGAAATCACAAATAAGGCTAAGATTATGTAATGGATAATTTTAGTAAAAGTCACAGATAGGTCACGGGCAATAATGAAAAAAATCACAGAAATCAGTCACCTGTCCTTGACTTTCATTATAAATTCCCATGAAAAAATATATTCGAAGCAAGAGCAAGCCCAAGAACAGGATAGGCCCATTGCTCAGTGAAGAGGGGAAAACAACAGAAAACGTGGAAATGGCAGACTTTTTTGTTTTGATTTACACCAGAAGGTTGGTGGTGATTGGATGCTTATAACAGTGAATGCTGGCAAAAAGAGGAGGTAGGCTCAGAAGTTAAAACAGGAAAAGAACAAGTTAAAAATTACGTAGGTAAATTAGATGTCTTCAAGTCACCAGGGCCTGATGAAATGCATCCTAGAATACTCAAGAAGCTTATTGAGGATATATCTGAGCCATTAGCCATCATCGTTAAAAAACCACAGAAATTAACGTTGAAAAACCATGGAAAATGGGAGAGATCTCTAAAAAGGGAAATAAGTGCAATCCTAGAAACTATGGACCAGTCAGCTTAATTTTTGCCAGCAGTGAGGGGACCTTTAGCTGCAGCAACCCTGATTGGTTGCTCACCCCCAGGAGGTGCACTAGTGGGGCAAGCAGCCAATCAGCTACAATTTGCTAGAGAGATGGAGGTTCTTGTCTCATGGCAGATGGGCTCCTTGAATGGCCATCCTGTCGCCCTAAAAATGTAACAAGAGCTGCTGCTGCAGGTCTGGTGGGGATTTTTCATGGGGAGGCTAATTGATGATCCTTAGAAGAGTCTGGAACACTTTGGTCATTGGGGAAATCCCATAAAGTGGCAGGCCTGTCTGGAGGAAGCCCTGTGACCATGCTGATTTCCTCCACTACCAACTTTTTCTCTCCTTCTTCAGCTCTGCCATCTGGTCAAACAACAATATTTCCTGTCTCTCATGGCATCCCATTAAAAAATCCTAATATATTATTTCCCATCTTTGACTCCTTCCTTGTTAACCTCCTACTATCATGCTGTCCCCTTTTCCTGATCCCTGCAAAGGACTGTGCTGACTTCTTTAAATAGAAATTTGGCAAATGCTTAGAACTTGTGAGGATTCAGAATAATCACTGTTAAGACCTATAGGCAGATGCTCCAGAGAGAAAAGGGGAGTCTCTGATCCTTTTGGTGAAAAGAGAAGTTGTGCCCTTAGAAAACTTGCTATGCATAGGCTACCAATCCACAGTTCCTAATAACACATAGGAAGTCACCATGACGATATTCCATATTTGGGGTCGGGAAGGAATTTTCCTTCAGGGTAGATTGACAGAGGCCCTGGAGGTTTTTCGCCTTTCTCTGTAGCATGGGGTACAGATCACAGCTAGAGGATTCTCTGCATCTTGGGGTTTTCAAAGTATTTGAAGGCTTCAATATCTGAGATATACCGTATTTTCTGGCGTATAGGGCGACTGGGCGTATAAGACGACCCCCTAATTTTTTAATTAAAAGATAGGGTTTCGTCTTATACCCCAGCGCCCCTCCACCTCCTTTGCTCCCGGTGTCCCTGGTCTGCTGGAGACGGTCCCCAGCAGACCAGAGGCACCGGGAGCAAAGCC